TTCCTAGTGTTACCATGATGGGACAACTGAGGCTGTTGATACCACCTGGACAGGGTCCAAGGTAGGAATTGCACACATAAAGAAGACTCAAGACGACATAAATGTGGTGAAAAAAGGGTTGTATTTATTGAAATATAACAACATGAAGGCTCTGCAAACAGCAATGAGACAGAAGAAACCAAATCAACACAGTTCAGGCAGGAAAGTTCCCTAAAGAAGGAGAGGTCAGCTCCCTGCCCTCCATCTCCTGGGCATGTGTTCAGGCTCTGTTTGTGCCCCGCCCCCCCACCCCCTCAGCAGAAGGACAACAAGGAGGGAACCAGTGCAGCTTCTCTTGCCTGGGAGCAATCTCCAAGAAGTCCCTTTCCTACATCCACATCAAGTGTGCCTGTGAGGGTGGCAAGACTGAGAGAAGGGTGTCCCCTGAAGATCTCAGAGCCTGGGCAGGTTTGTATGAGGGGAACCAGTCTTTCAGATAGCCTGGACCTAAGCGATCCAGTGGTACCTCGGGTTAGGTACTTAATTCTTAAACTGAAGCACCACTTTAGCTAATGGGGTCTCCTGCTGCTGCCGCGCCACCGGAGCACAATTTCTGTTCTTATCCTGAAGCAAAGTTCTTAACCTGAGGTACTATTTCTGAGTTATCAGAGTCTGTAACCTGAAGCGTATGTAACCTGAAGCATATGTAACCCAAGGTACTACTGTATATGGCTTTATAGGTCATAACCAGCACTTTGAATTGTGCCCAGAAACAGACTGGTTGCCATTGGAGCCCTTTCTCATTACAACCAGCCCCAGTCAATGGTCTGACTGCTGCTCTTTGAGTGAAGGGGTTTGGAGGGATCAATATCTCTGGTAGATTGGATATCCTTGGGTAGGGGTAATGTTTTCAGCTTAGTTTCTGTACTATATTATCTGTGCTTCAGACAAACTATAAAACGCTGAGCAGGGGAATCTCAAACAGAGCTTAGTTCTTCTGTTACAGAAGACAGATCCCCCTTTTTCTTTGAATGAAAGTAGAATTGAAATAGTTCTGCAGAATGGAATCTGCTTGATATGGTTTCTTGCAGAGAACAACTCTACAGTTCTAAGGTTCTATGATCTGGAGTCCAGACCCTCCAAGTGTCCCTTTTTTTCAAGTGACATCCCTGATTTAGTGACATCCCTGATTTAGAGAAACCATCCCAGAAAGTCCCACTTTTCCTTAGGATGTCCCCATTTTCATTGGAGAAATGTTGGAGGGTGTGGAGTTATCCGACCCCCAAGCCGTCTGAAGGCAATCCTATATAGGGAAGTTTTTATTTAATGCTTAGTGTTTTATTACGTTTTTATATCTATTGGAAGCTGCCCAGAGTTGCATGGGCAACCTGGTAATATGTGTGGGGTATAAATAGCAAAATTATCATTTTGGAATGGGACATCCCTATTTTCATTGGAGAAATGTTGGAGGGCATGGTGTCACCTCTGAAGTGATGTGCCAGTCCCTGCTCCCTTGCTTTGCCCAGAAAACCAGTAAGACCTTTTGAGAGTTTCTATAGAAGGCATGAAAAGCTTGGTGTGTGTGTAGGTGTGCAACATCCCATTTCCAAATGTGTTTAGTTCAAAGGTATTGTGGTGTATGTGTGCCAACAGTTTAGGATTTAGAGGTGTTCATTTATTTGGGAGGCTAGTTGCTTCTTCGAAATCAATATCTTGTGGACATGCCCTGATGGAGCAGAGGGAGGCCTAGGATTGCCGAACAAGCTGTTGACTGACTCTTCCTTCAAATGCCTGCCAGTCTTCATTCTGTGGATGTACATTCATGGATCCAAACTCATTACAGGTAGCAGAGTGGGAAAGGCCCACACCTGGACCCCTGGAGAGCCTGCTGCCAGTTAAAAGCAGCCAGAACTGGGGAAGACATGTCAATGATCTGTCCAACTGCAAGGCAGCTCCAAGGTGGCAAAGGGAACCAAAACAAATTTGTGCATTTGACGTTCTGTTTCAGAATGAATTGAGAAGCCCCTGTGGCTACTTTCAACTCGACAAGCTGAGAAGCTGGAGAACTATAAAGCAGGCAATTGGGTCTCTGTGTTACTTAGTCATACTTTAGAAATTCATTATTCAGGACTGTAGTAGCAGAATAAATCCATTGCACCATTAACGTCCAGTTTCTACGTATGCCAGTTAAAAAATGTGCCATTGCAGGAGAGGGCAAGGAGGGAAAAAGAAATTAGATTAGAATTACTAATTTTTGTTGTTGTCGAGAAAAGTAGAGGAAGCAGGATGCACTGGCCATTAAGAACAAAATGTATTCTGCTAGGTAACTAGGGACTAGGTATGAAAATCTTGGGGGTTTCTGACTGAGGGGTGGTGTGGATGCTGGCCATGAGCCATTCAGAGTGGTATCCAACTAAGACTCACTCAGAGTAGGCCCATTGAAATTATTGGGCCAATGTGAAACACGTCCATTTATTTTGATGGGTTTACTCCAAATAAGTTTACCACTGGGATACAGCCCACAGTTTGGTTTGTGGTTGGATCTGCTGGTATTTTTGACTACGTGCTATTTGATGCAGCTTCCCACAAAGCAATTAAGAAGTTGGCCGAAGGCAAAGAAGACTGAGCATGGGAGTTATTCTGCCTAGAGATATGGGACCTTGGATACAACTCTGCTATTGGTTGAGGTCTCCATATAGGCATGATGACTCATGACCTTCCTTGTTGGTTAGTTGGTTGGTCAGTGTGTGTACTAAAAGTTGTTTGGAATTTGTTCAGTGGGAGAGAAGATCCGTGTCTGTATCTTGTATATAGTAACTTGTGAGTCTGCAGTAAATAATAAACACCTATAAGTAACCAAGTTACTAGTAGCAGCGTCATGTTCCTGCTTCATCCTACCTGCCTGCAACTGATTGCTTCTTGAAGTCTGCATAAGCTCTGCTATATTTAACTGGGTCTGGCTAAGATCCTGCAATGGGTTAAGGTTGCGAAACACCAATAGGGTCTTCTTAATGTAAATCAGTCGTGTACTCTCGATACTGAGTTGCACAGATTTGGACTGATCTGAGCTTTGACTGAGTCGAGTTGAGGCAGCCTTGGATTGCCTTGGGTACAGTCTTGCTGGTTTTAGGGGTCTGCTTCACCAGTATGTTCATTGTAGGGAAGCAGAACCCAGCAGGATCAAATCCTTCACTCACCGGCTGTTTATAAGAATCAACCACCTTAATTAAACATCAGCCCTGCCATCTAAATTTATTCAGGTCTGGATCCAGGTCAGGTCAGGTGTTGGGGCCAATCTGGGGCTCTGCAATGGGGCTCTGGATCAGGTTGGGCAGGATAATGCACAGTCCTAATAAACAGTTGCCACAGCAATGATGCAAAATCCATTGACTGATCAAGGGCTTCAAAGCCAGCATCTGAGAACATTCTCCAAAACAAACTGAAGTTCTCTAAATAATTATATTTTCTGGGCCATTAAGTAATTGTGTTGATGGGAGGAGGTCTCTGTCTAAGATTCACCACAGTCATTATAATCCTGATCTCAAACCTGCTGTAAGAAAACCAGTCTCGCTCAAATAATAAGATGTTTACCATGTTGAAAATGCAAAACACTCAGGTGGATTGCGGGGGTGGGGGAGGTCAAGTTGCCAATAGGATGTTTCATCTCCAAGGATCACTGTTCGTGCAAACAAGGAGACCAGAAACCAACTCAAAATGATATCTATACAGGCTCCAACTGGGGAAATCAGAGTGTTTGTTTCATAGCAGCAATGGGTTGGAACTGATGCCTGCTATGTGGAGAGGCATCTCTCCAAGGTACTGGAGTGAAAGAAGGAAAGAGAAGGGGAGAAATAGGTTTTCTATGCAGATCAGATGTTTCTAATTCTCAGAACACTCCAGCAAGGGGGTGTAAGATGGAGGGAACATACTATCTCCCTGTTCCCTGAAGGCTTTTAGGGAAAAGCCAAACACCATCTGTCAGAGATATTTTCAGCATTCCTTCTCCCTGCCTCTGAAATTATTATTGTTGTTGCAGTGGTGGATAGTCCATTATAGTGAATGGGGAAGTGTCCCACCAACCTCATTCGCCTCTCAGCTAGCCTTCCACCTTCCTGCCCTTTTACTTACAAGCAACATGGGGGTGGGCACTGTCTGTCAGTAACAGGTATTAAGAGGTGTATTGCCTTTTCTACTGGAATGAATATAGTGATCATCAAGAGGCCAAAATAATGACCACCAGCACATATCATTGAAGTTAGATTAGCTGTAAAAACTTAAGAACATAGACGAGCCAACCAATGGCCCATCTAGTCTGACATCTTCTTCTCACAGTGGCCAACCAGATGCCTGTGGAAAACCCTCAAGCTGGCCAGAAACTCTCCCCTTCTGCAGTTTCCAATAAAGGGGATTCAAAGACACACTGCCTCCAACAGTGGCATCAGAGCATAGTCATCATGGCCATCACTGCCTCCTGTGGGAGGGCGTTCCATAATTTAACTATGTGCTGCATGAAGAAGTAATTTCTTTTAGGACCCTCGTACCTACGGGACCGCCTCTCTTGGTATGTCCCATGGAGGACCTTACGGTCTTCAAATAAAAACATCTTGGAGATCCCGGGCCACAGGGAGGTTAGGCTGGCCTCAACCAGAGCCAGGGCTTTTTCAGCCGTGGCCCTGATCTGGAGGAACACTCTGTCACAAGAGACCAGGGCCCTGCGGGAATGGACATCTTTCCACAGGGCCTGCAAGACAGAGCTGTTCCACCAGGCCTTTGGCCAAGGCACAGTCTGACACCCTCCTTCTGTAATCCTCATAGAACTCTAACCCAAATGGTTGCCATTAAATTGACTCTGAATTGATTTTAGAATGAATTGATTTTAGAATGTATTTCAATTAATTGATTGTGATTGTATGTAAACTGTGTTATTTTTACTGTTGTTAGCCGCTCTGAGCCCAGCTTTGGCTGGGGAGGGCGGGATATAAATAAATTATTATTATTATTATTATTATTATTATTATTATTACAGTGGTACCCCGCAAGACGAACGCCTCGCAAGACGGAAAACCCGCTAGACGAAAGGGTTTTCCGTTTTGGAGGCGCTTCGCAAAACGAATTTCCCTATGGGCTTGCTTCGCAAGACGACAGCCCATAGGGAAATCTCAGGGACAGCGGGGAAGCGCAGCGCGTCTTCCCCACTGTCCTCGGACCTCCTCCGAAGCCTGGCGGCGGGGCGGGGACACCTCCTCCCGCCGCCGCCGGGCTTCGGAAGGCTCCTCCGAAGCCGGGCGGGGGGGAGGGAACACCTGCCGCCGCCGCCCGGCTCGGAACGGTGCTCCGAAGCCGGGCGGTGGGGAGGGAAGACCTCCCCGCCGCCCGGCCGGACGGTGCTCCGGCCGGGCGGGGAGGGAACACCTCCCGCCGCCGCCCGGCTCGGAACGGTGCTCCGAGCCGGGCGGGGGAGGGAACACCTGCCGCCGCCGCCCGGCTCGGAACGGTGCTCCGAAGCCGGGCGGGGGAGGGAACACCTGCCGCCGCCGCCCGGCTTCGGAACGGTGCTCCGAAGCCGGGCGGGGGGGAGGGAAGACCTCCCGCCTCTGCCCGGCTTCGGAACGGTGCTCCGAAGCCGGGCGGTGGGGAGGGAAGACCTCCCGCCTCTGCCCGGCTTCGGAACGGTGCTCCGAAGCCGGGCGGGGGGGAGGGAAGACCTTCTGAAGGCGGGCGGGGGGCGAAAGTCTTTGCTCCCCCCTGCCTGCCTGTCCCGGAGGGCTTTTGAAGGCAGGGGGGACAAAGACTTTTGCCCCCCGCCAGCCTTCAGAAGAGGTCCTGGACCTCTTCTGAAGGCTGGCGGGGGGCAAAAGTCTTTGTCCCCCCTGCCTGCCTTCCCAGGGGCTTTTAAATTGCCCCGGACAGTGGAGAAGTCCTCCGCTGTCCCGGGGTGATTTTAAAATGCCGCCCGCCAGCATTTTAAGATCGCCCGGACAGCGGAGAAGTCCTCCGCTGTCCCGGGGTTTTTTAAAATGCTGGGGGTGGGAAGAAAAGCCCTTGCACCCCCAGCCTTCAGAAGAGGTCCGGGGACAGACTGTCCCCGGACCTGAGTCTGAAGGCGGTTTCCCTAGGAACGCATTAATTGATTTTCAATGCATTCCTATGGGAAACCGTGCATCGCAAGACGAAAAACTCGCAAGACGAAGAGACTTGCGGAACGAATTAATTTCGTCTTGCGAGGCACCACTGTATTATCATCTGTCTAGAATAATCACTCAATGTGCTGACAACATGGCATGCATCTGATTTCCATGACTTCCAGTGTGAATTTACATGATCCACTTTACATGATGTCAGACTGAAGCATAAATGGGAATATAATTATCCACCAGATCTTGCATTTTTCTGATTTCCCAATACACTACTTGGCTAGGGGAAAGAATATAGCAAAATGTTTATTCTCTGATAAAATAATATTTAGAAATGCATGTGTTGTGATAAGACACTTATTTAAATGCAATTTTTGTGCCTTAAAAATGTAGATTAATGAGGAAATGGGATGGAACAACCCTATGAATAAGTAGAACTGAAATTGACTACACCGGGAATGAATCAATCCCTCCATCTCTCAGGTCTGCCTACACAGAACTTTTAAGGCTTCCTTTCAAGATGTAAGAAATTAGGAGAGACCTGAAGTGAACCTGATAGAGAAGGAGAGGTCAGTTTGCTTCTTAATTCAGTTGTTTGTCCAAGATTATCTCCCTCACAATGACTAATGCTTCCTCCTTCCTCCCAATTGTTAGGGAATATTAGCTGCAAATATGGGGTTCATATAGGTCAAGCTGGGAAGCCATAATCCGCTTATAGCAGATGGATTCCATGGGGTGTCCAGAGCACTGTCCTGTTGTGTTGGATGAGTTTCAGTTAGTAAGGTTCAAGGATGTGAACAAGGTGCTTGAATCAATCAGAGTGACCACTCTGGACCCTTGCCCCTCTAGGCTGATAAAAACTAGCAGGAAAAGGACAGCTATCTGGGCCAGGGAGGGGACTAATGTCTCCTTGCAAGAGGGCATGGTCCCTGACTGTTTGAAGGAGGAAGTGGTAAAACCATTCCTCAAGAAACCCTCCCTGGATTTGGAAAATCTAAGTAACTACTGGCCAGTTTGCTAATCTCCTCTTCTTGGGCAAGATTATTGAGCAGGTGGTTTTGGACCAAATCCATGTGCCCTTGGAGGAAACTGATTTTCTAGATCCATGTCATTATGTATTTTGTGTTTTTTATCTTGTATTTTTATGTTGTGGCCCAGCCTGAGATTGACAGATGAAGGGCAGTATACAAATTTAATAAATCACCATCATCACCTTTTGTAACCAGTGCTGTTTCATCTTGTGGAAAAAAATGCATCACAGTTTTGGACAGCGGTCTTTGCAGAAATTACTAAAATAACTGGATGGCAGATATCAAAATCTCTGGAACTAGCCCCATTAAACTTTTTTTTCCCAACACAACATTGGAGACGGTCACCTAAAGCCTCTTATTTGCTACCTTCTTGCAGCTGCCTGGCTAGTTCTTGCTCAATATCTAAAGGGCACCATGTTAGCTTATTTCTATAGAACAGGCATGTCCAAAGTCCATTTCGGGGCCTAATCCGGCCCGCCAGTCAGTTCAATCCGGTCTCTCTCAACAACTTCAATGCTAAAAGCTCAACAACTTTGGGGTAAAGGTAAAGGGATTCCTGACCATTAGGTCCAGTCGTGGCCAACTCTGGGGTTGTGGTGCTCATCTCGCTTTACTGGCCGAGGGAGCCGGCATACAGTTTCCGGGTCATGTGGCCAGCATGAATTTGTATTTACTTTGGGGTAAAATCATACCTAAAGCTCAACAACTTCAATCCTTAAAAAAAAGGATAACAACTTTGGTCGGCCCTTTGAGTGGCCCTCATGGCCCTTCACTTCATCAAATCTGGCCCTCTTTGAAAAAAGTTTGGACACCCCTGGTATAGAACATACAAGAACAGGACCTCAGATAGCTCCAACAGGGCACTGCAGCCTTAAGACTTTCTCCACCCTAAGGCTGCTACAGGAGATGCAGCCTCTGCTGGGAACTAGAGTGCAATGAATCATGAAGCTGACTACCTGGAATGTGATAGGCTTTCCCTCCCTGGATGTACCGGCTGAGTGCTTAAAGGGACATCAACTTACTTTTTTTTAAAAAAATCATTTTTTAAATATACATTTTTATTAAAGTTTTCTTGGTTTACACAGGTACAGTGGTACCTCTGGTTAAGAACTTAATTTGTTCCAGAGGTCTGTTCTGAACCTGAAACTGTTCTTAACCTGAAGCACCATTTTAGCTAATGGGGTCTCCTGCCGCCACGCCGCTGCTGCGCAATTTCTGTTCTCATCCTGAAGCAAAGTTCTTAACCCGAGGTACTATTTCTGGGTTAGTAGAGTCTGTAACCTGAAGCGTCTGTAACCTGAAGCGTATGTAACCTGAGGTACCACTTTATGCGTAATGTCTCTTTTTTCAAGTTACATTTTCCATAGGTCAGTTTCATTTGTTGAGACATTAGGGTTACATTAGGAAGAAAAGTGGGGGAGAGGTGGAGAGGGGAAAGGCGTCAACTTACTTTTAAGTCTTTGGCTTCTGCAGGGCTGTGGGAACAAAGGTCCTTCAGGGAGATCCTCCTCTGAGTCAGAGGCAGGGATGTTGGAGGATTCAGGGAAAACTCTTCTTTGCATAGCACATTATTAAGCTAGGGAACTCACCAGTTGCCTTGACAGCCATCTCTCCCATCGGTTTGCTAAATCCTCTTTCAAAGCCACTCAAGTTGGTGGCCTTCACTGCCTTCTGTGGGATCAAATTTCATAGTTTAACTCTGCACTGCATGAAGAAGGACCTTCTTTTATCTGTGTCGAATCTTCCAACATTTAGCTGCATTGGACGTCTAGTGTTTTGAGAGAGGGAGAGAAACTTTCCTCTATCCACTTTCTCCATGCCATGCTTGGTTTTGTGTTTAGACAGTGCTGAACTAGACGGACTTGATGCCATTCCCCTCCCCCATAAAATGTCCTCAAAGTTATCCCTCTAGCTTCTTTGATCCCACCCCCAAACTGCCAAAAAAAGGGGCAACCCCCTCAGCCCAGCACTGGTTGCAACTCCCTGTTGATCCCACTATTTAAGTGCGCTAACCGTTGCATCACTTTCATCTGCCTGTATCAAAGCCAGACTTGCCTCTGCAAAACATCTGAAATAGCCCTTCTGGGGACTTACCTGCTGTTCTCCTGGAGTGGAACATTATTAGGTGTTGCAAAAGAGACTGTCCAGTAGCAAAGTTTCTAACTGTGTAACTACTGAGCAGAATCTCAGCGGCTGACTGTTTTAAATAATTGATGTTCCCTTCTCTGCAACAGGACTGATTTCTAAATCAGGTTTTGTGGGTGTGAAGGGAGGGGGGAAGTCAGGAACACCCTCCCCCACACACTTCAATTATTACATTTTATCAGCTCCTTGTTTAGTTTGCCTGTATGTTTTCCCTCAGCTGTGCAGATCCCTGCAGCCTGGTCGCAAGATGGATCTGGCAAAGCAGAAGAAGGGGGGAAATCCCCAAAACCTTGTGATAAACCCATAATGTAATTTGCATAAGGAAATTACACATTTCCTGGGATGGTTAATTAGAACGCCTTTGTTCTTTTATTTTTATGAATCATTCATGCTTTCTTATCAGCTTGAAAGGCTGTTTCACAAATGTCAACATTAGGATTTTTGCTTCTTTCTCCATTGCCACCCACCCCACCCCCCGGTCACCCCTCCTCCAGCTGCTGCTCCACCAGCACCATGAAACACATTGAATAAGAAGGTAAATATATGTTTAATTTTATCCCGTTTAATTTGCACTGGATGCATGTTAATTTCAGGAGAACAACATTGCGGGAGAATTCTCACTTTATTTATAGAACCAGCTATAACTCGGAGGCATGACTAGATTGGAGATGAGATGTAACAGCTGATACCCAAACTGCAAAACAGTCCATCAGACTGCTAGAAAGAGGTGGTTCTGTGAGGGACCCTGGGGGCAGAGATCAGGGATAAATTTGGTTGGTTCGCCTTGTGAGGTTTCCTGCCTTATTTCCTTGGGGGGGGGGGTCTCAAGTACTTTCAGTGCTCCAGTGTGTTTTCTTATATTCAGATACAGTCGGGGAGCCCTTCCCTCTTTCAAGGGTACGACTCTTCCCTTCACTAGATACACTATTAGGTTTATTTATTTATATTCCTTGAACTGTAGAACTGTAGAGTTGGAAGGGACCCAATGACACATTTAGCCCAAGAATCACAGCTAAAGAATCCCTGCCCATCCAACTCCTGCTGAAAAAGACCTCCAATGAAGGAGAGCCCACCACCTTCAGAGGGAGTCCAGTCCACTGTCGAACAGCTTCTGCCATTAGAAAGTTCTTCCCCTTAGCTCACCACTGAAAAATGATGCTCCAGACAGCCATGATTTCCCACGCTGCCCTCTCATTCAGACAAGCAGTGGGCAACTCTGGATGATTCATCATGAGAAGAGGAAGAGGGATGAGACTATGCAGCAGAATCCACTTGAGGAAACCCCCTGCCTCTGGACATGCCCAACCTTGACAAGGTGGATGACCCAGTGGCTGCTCCTTCCCAACCTGTGGAGGATGAGGAGCAGCCCAGTGGCCCAGCCTACTAAGATAGTACGGTCAAATTTGGAGGAGGAGATGTGTGCAGTGATATCTCCCACAAGAAAGGAGACTTCCTCCTTCACCCCCAAGTGAAGTGCCTATGCTCTGGCAGTGAATTCCATCAAGGTGAGGAACCCTCATTAGTAACTGAGCTTTTGAGCTCTCACCACCTCTGCTTAAAAGCTTAATGGGGAGACTTGTTGAAGCAACTTCACAGCTTCTTCTGCTGTCTTGAGCTCTTGTTACTGTTCTGAACTCCAGGACCTTGTCCCTTGTTCTCAAATGAGATTTATTGTCACTGCTGTTTTAAGAGCAACTGAATGAGAATCTGCTTTGTACTGGTCACTGAGTTCATACCATAACCTTTGCTAGGAGTCCAGCAAGCCTTGCTCCCTGCCCTGCTATTGTCTTTCCACCTGGCCTGGGAGGGCCCTGGGGCCCTGACTGACTCTACTAACCAAACTGAGGAGGCTGAAAAAGTTGGAGACCATCTTCGTTGTGAGTCCTGCTCAGGGTGCCCAGCTGCTCTTGGGGTGAGATACTGTTTAGGAAGTTTTGTGAAACGTAGTTCTTTCAGAGAAATTTACTCATGATTGTAGAGCTGTCTGCAGAAGTACAAAAAAATGAAAGATTTGAGGGTGTATGGCTTCAATTTATTTCATTTGTTAATAGCAATACAGATGCATTTTGTCCTCCTGAATTGCAGCAGGCTCTCTGGATGGGTTATCTCATTTCAGCTTCCTAGTCTGTTAACAAAGTCTGTAGGTTTCTTCTGCACTCTGAATTTTTGGACTTGCAACATGTTCAATATATAGGCTCTACATGTCATTCAATGCTTCTGTCTTTAGCAGTATGGAAGAATGTTATTTCCTTGTATGTTTTATGTTAAAAAATAAAAAACACACACTATGTCTTTCTTCAAATAACAATAATGGAAATGCCTAATTTTTCCTGTTCTTATTATTCTTTTGTATCTTTATTTGTTAGATCTTGTTATGACTTATGTGGAAACAATTTAATTTTACTGTATACTTATTGACATGCTTTATTTAGTGTATGTTATTACTTTTGTTATGTAAAACTTTTTGTTTCATTAGCTCCCTTGACAGAGTTTAACTATGGAAAGGCGGCATACAAGTAAATGATTATGATCATCGCAAAATCATAGAATTGTATAGTTGCAAGGAAGCCCAAGTGTCATCTAATCCAAACAGTTGCAATGCAGGAATCACAGCTATTGCTGACTATGATAAAGGCTTTCTACATTACTACCAGTTGTTTTTAGCCAGGTAGATTCTGACACCTGGGTAAAAAGAGGTTCCTGGAATGTTTATGATTCTATAAATGCCTTGAGAAGTCAGCTCTCACAGCACAAGCAAACTTTCACTCATTTCCTGATCCACCATTGGGAGAAAGTTCCTCACAGAGGTCTGCTGGAGAAAAATCTCTCTCTTTTTCTCTTGTGTTCCATTTGCCTTGTTTTGTTCCACCCCCTGCTGTGAAAGGAGCACCTAGATGGTTCTAACACCAGCTCTGCTCAATCAATCACTTACATGGACAGCTTGAAGATTACAGCTACCATGAGTCCAGTTTGTCATGGGAGAACTCCAGGGAGGAATTCACACTGATGCATTAAAAGATTTCCATGGCAACTAGGACTTCTGGGAATTCCTATAACCCTGCGCTTGGAAGCAGAATGAGGACTTTTGCTGAAGCCTTCTGAGCATCATGATAAAAATGTAGGAGAGATTGGGGAAAACACACAAACTCGCGCACACATCTTCATTAGTTTGCAAAATGCCTTCCAGGCATAACATATAATAATGTTTGATTAATATCGAGCAATCTGTCACTGATGAGACACATTTCTGTAGCTGTCAGCTCCCAGTTAGTAATTAGGTAGTTCATCCGTTTCAGAGGTTCTTTAACTGATGCTGACAAGTGTGGAAGCTTCAAGGAAGGTACAAACAAGAAAGCAGATAAGATGCAATGACAGCCTGGTGATGAGTGTTTGGCTAGCAGTTGTGAGCAAATCATCCATTGTTACAAAAGGTGGAGTCCTTTGAATTACTGGAACCCCTCATGTAGTGCAATGCATCTCTGCATCTACACTCAAAGACACACATTGCACCCTTCCGCAAAGGTCCTTTATTAGCGGAGGTTCAGAAATCATTAAGGCCTAGACCAGGCATAGGCAAACTCAGTCCTCCAGATGTTTTCAGACTACTACTCCCATCATCCCTAGCTAACAGGACCAGTGGTCAGGGATGATGGGAATTGTAGTCCCAAAATATCTGGAGGGCCGAGTTTGCCTATGCCTGGCCTAGACTTCTGGATAACTGTCCAATGATGCTCCTGTAGATGATCTCCGTGATTGAGCTGGGAAATAAGGGATCAGGTGATCCCTGAAGTACTGTAGACTTAGGCTGCTCAGGGCTCTGTAAGTTAACACAAGGACCTTGAACTTGGCTTGGTAGTGGATGGGCAGCCACTGCAGCTGTTTTAACAATGGTGTCACATGTTATACACCAAATGCCCCCATCAGCAATCTGGCCACCGCATTCTGCACTAGCTGGAGCTTCCAAACCAAAGGGCAGCCTTTCACAGACCACATTGCAGGAATCCAGCCGTGTCTAACGGTGCTGAAAGTTGCAATTTTAGTGTCCTAGTATAGATTTGGCAGTTTTGGAGTTGAATTCACCACTCAAATGTCTTATAGCCCTCAGGTGGATCAATAGATCTTCCACGCGTAACTTTATTTTATTACCTGTGATACCTAAATACCACAAGTCCTTCCCTTTCTGCAGTGATCTTTGTTATTAAGACGTCCTGTCACATGCATTTCTGTCCTAGGGCAATATGTGGATTCTGGGCCACTGTCACCTCTAATACCTTTGTTTCCAACCATAACCTTTTAAGAGGGGATTTCCACTTGCAACAGCTGACATGTTTCTTGTGGGTAAAGCTAATTTTGGCTCAATAAGCCCCAAAGCAGTCAAGCTGCAGCAAAGCATGCTGGGAGACTTCAGAGCCAATGACAAAGATTTTGACTTCCACACTGACCAACAAAATTCAGCAACATTTGAGTATTCCCATTATCATAAATTCATGGAATTGTTGAGCTGGAAGGGACTTCAAGGGTCTTCCAGCCCAACCTCCTGCAATGCAGGAATCATAGCTAAATAATCATAGCTAAATAATTCCTAAATAATTGGTCACCCAACCCCTGTTGAACAACCTCAAACAATGGAAAGTCCACCACTTTCTGAGGGAACCTGTTTCACCATCAAACAGCTCCTACCATCAGAAAGTTATTCCTAATGTTTAATCAGAATCTCCTTTCTGGACACATGAATTCATTAGTTCGGGTCCTACCCACTGCAGCAGCAGAAAACAAGTTCGCTCCATCTTTCCATGTGGCAGTCCTACAGATATTTGAAGATAGCTCTCATATCTCCTCTCAGTCTCCTCTTCTCCAGGATATACATTCCCAACTCCCCAACAAACTAGTTAAAACCAACGGTTGAAAGACATCACAACACATTTAGAACCAGAAAATATAACCCAGTTTGCCCTGACAGCAGCTCAGTGGTCATCACTGTTTGAACCATAGTTTCCAAAGGCCTGTTTGAACAGGAATGCCTTAGCCTGCCAGGAGAAAGATCACAAGGAAGGAGCCAGTCTCTTTGTAGGGAATTGCATAATTTTCCTGGTTATAATGCTAGCACTTGTATCCTACTTTCGAAGACTTCTTTTATACTGCAATACCTGTTGCATTGTGGAACTGTGGCTTTTCTATTGCTATACTGCCATGTCACCCTAAACTTTGATGACTCCAGGTTGTATTTAACTGATTTATGCTCAGAGGACACTCACCTGGGTACATCCAAAGTTAGTCCTCTTCAGAGTAAGGTAAAGGGTAAAGGGACCCCTGACCATTAGGTCCAGTCGCAAATGACTCTGGGTTTGCAGCGCTCATCTCGCTTTACTGGCCGAGGGAGCCGGTGTTTGTCCGCAGACAGCTTCCAGTTCATGTGGCCAGCATGACTAAGCCGCTTCTGGCGAACCAGAGCAGCACACGGAAACACCATTTACCTTCCTGCTGGAGTGGTACCTATTTATCTACTTGCACTGCGTGCTTTCGAACTGGCAGGAGCAGGGACAGAGAAACGGGAGCTCACCCCGTCACGGGGATTCGAACTGCCAACCTTCTGATCAGCAAGCCCTAGGCTCTGCAGTTTAACCAACAGCACCACCCGCGTCCCTAAAAAAGTTAACTAAAAAAGTTATTCCTATTCAGTGTAGGCACATTGAAACAAATGGCAATTACTAACTTGAATCCATTAATGAATGTACCCAAGTGCATCTCCTCTGAGCATAAATCAGTTCCGCGGTGGCCATGCTCCATGGGGGACACCCACTGCACTTCAGGGGCAGAGGGCCTGCAGAGGATGCTCCCCTAATAAAGACCTATGTGTGCTGGTTGGAAGGATGGAACGTTGTTTACAAAGAAGCTGCGAGGAACTTTGTCAAACGGCTCACTTTAGGTGAGATGTATTACACAGGCTTTACTCTCCCATTTGATAATCTTGACCATTTGTCTTCATAAAAAAAGAACAGGGGAAGTTGACCTGTCATAAGGTTGGAGCATCAAATACCTCTTTGTTTTTCTCTCTAGAGCATAAACTAACCGTCTTCTAGGTAGGACTTAATGTATTTTTTATTTTGTGTTACTCTCTCCGTTCCACACTTCCCTTTCTCTGTAGCTGTGCTGAGTGTGGTTGTTTTAATTTCGCAGGGAAGGGCAGATTTGCTGCTTGATGACACTTAATGGAAGGTTTGGGGTCTTCCTCCTTTCCCTCCCCATGCTTTAAAGCTCAGGCAGGCACCAATTCAGCAGCATTTTCATCTAAAAGGCAAAGTTTAGATTAGAGAAGAGCTTAGCCAGCTGGGATAGAGATAGTCTCGATTTTGCAAACAGGAGGGAAAGGAAGGCATGTGGACCAATAATCATTTCTGAGATGGCTGAAGCAAGAGCTGAAATTTCCGAGAAGACTTTTTTCGGTGAGATTTCCCCACCACCAAACCTAGAAAAATAAGGCAAATTTGCAGAATTACCACTAAATATTCTCTAGCAATTTAATAGTAGGTACCATTTCCCCCCTGCACACACACAACCACACAAACATGTGCAAATACAATGTCATGGACTGACTCTAGTCCTGTTGTATTGTGGAGGGTGCAAAATGGTGGTGTGTTAAGAATATAATAGAAAATGTAGGAAATTGCAGTCAAATATATCTTGCAAGCTTTGCACTAGTTAATGCATGAAAAAGTTAAGACCACAGATCTTTATTCCTAGACTAAACTAGGAATAGGATGTTCCTGAGCTTGCCCACTATAAGCTCAGTGCATGCTTACAGCTAGTTCACCAAATTTTGTAGCACAAGATTTCTGCCTGTGTTTACTTGCTGCTTCATGGATAAATGCATGAACCTGACCTTTGGAACTCTGTGGCTAAAACATTTTAAAACTTACTAATGAGTGTGGCCTGTTAAATGATAAGAGGGGTGGAAACGGGAAAGCTCTGGAAGAGACTAGAATGGAATATTTAAAAGGTTTAACAGCCTATATTCCCAAACTATACTTTTGCTTGCTTCTGTGATTTTAATACTCTGCTAGGGGCTCTCTGTGGCTGGAGAGTGTGTTTAGCCCTGCATTTTGGATCTAGAGATCTAGCCAATTCTTTCATCCTCACATGGATAAGCTGTATATATTCTTCCCCAAACAAAAACCTTGCTGGATAAGGCTAATCTAGTACAAGATGCTGTTCTCACAATGGACAAGCAGATGCATGTGGGAAAACCCACAAGTACAACAGCACTTGAGATTCCCAGAAACCCACATTCAGAGATATGTTGCCTCCAAACATCACTACTGATCACCTTATCCTCCATGAATTTGTCAAATCCTTTTTTTAAACCACTCAAGTTGCTGAATGTGCGCACACACCAGAACTCAAACAAAACCTCTCCTTCATCTGATGTTTCTAAACAGTGTTATATGAATTCTAAGGTCTCATACATATAAATCATATGTTCATAAATTTACAAGGCAAACACATATTGTCTCAAATAGTACAGGAGAGCAATCCTGAAACCATTTTGACTTTCCCAAATTGACCTCAAATGTTTCTCTACAAGGAGGAAGGAAATGAGAAAGCCTCCCACTTTGTTCACAGATCTTAAGGACGTATCTGTGCATGAATAGGGTGAGCCTGTGACCTGGATTCAGGAACTGAGTATTTACCATCACAAAAGAATGGCCAGGATGCCCGGGTAAAAGCAATCAGTGTCCATTATCAGGTATCCTGGCAGACAGGTTTTCTGCTGTAGACCGCCCCTTCAGTGATGTATGTATGATTTTTTTTTGGGGGGGGGGTCTTGAGCTACAGGGTAGGCAGTTTCAAAAGTCTATCTTGCACACCAATGTTCTGGGTTTCTCCTCCCTCCTGCGCGGGGGAATGAGGACCGTGTTTCAACAGTTTAATAAAGATCAGGCTTACTAGCTGCTTTGCTTCTCAATATTCTCTGGTTGGCCTCTGTTATTTTCTCCTACCAATAGGGAACCTACATAAGGACTCTATACGGGCTCTTGGGTACCCCATAAGGTATTATGTGTTATTTTTCTTATAACACAGCGGTTGGATGGCTGTCTGTCAGATAGTCTTTAGCTGTGATTCCTGCATTGCTGGGGATTAGACTAGATGACCATTTAGGTTACTTCCAACTCTACAATTCTATGATTCTGTGACAACTGAGTTGAAACAGGAAGCCCTATATACTCCGTCCTGTCTAGAAAAATCTAATGGTTAGTCTGGGTGGGTGGAGCCAGTCCAGTCTAAAAGGTTCTTTTGCGGTGAGTGCTGCCACCTGCAGTTCAGCAATTTACCACAAGGGGCACCAGCATGCAGATCCTGCCCTGCCTAACAGCTGTTGTGAGATGTTGTTCCTTTGCCTTTGTTTAGAAGGAAACCTCATTTTCTTCTCTTTTTCTGAAGGCATTTTGAAACAGTGAAGTTAATCTTCCTTTCCTCCTCAATCCGCTATGGAAACTGCGAGAGAGCCAACCCCTTTGATGTCTGCCATGTCCAATCCATTATTAATCACTGTAAATCTGCTATAATCTCTACAAACATATTTCCATTCCTTACAAATCTATTGGTGCCAAGTTTCTCTAATAAATCTTGTGTCAGGCCAGCTATTGTCTGCCTCCTCCTTCAGTGCTGCATTTCCCAGATGAAATATTTAAACAATATTTGGACAATAAGCAGTTGCAGGGCACCGCCCGCTCGCTTTTGTTTTCAGAAATCGCAGCAAACAAACAAATCCTGCAGATTTATAGCTTGCTGGAAAAGTGGTGCTTGCCGCTATGTGTTTGCTTCCAGATGATTTTGATTTCTATTAAGTTAGAGAAGAGACTCAGTACCTTTATTTTCAGGAGTGGAGGCTGGAAAAAAAATTGGTGCAATACGGATTTTAATTTTCAAATTGTATGCGTTAATCCAGGCTTTGCAAACTTGGGCTCATGCAGATGTTTTGGACTACAACTCCCATCACCCCCAGCCAACATGGGGAAGGACCATAGCTCAGTGGTTAGAGGGTCTGCCTCACATGCAGGTTCAGGTCCAGGTCCAGGTTCAATTCCCAGTGCCTCCAGGTTGGGCTGGGAATGTTCCTGCCTTGGATTCCAGAAATCTACTTCCAGTCAGAGTGGACACTACTGAGCTAGATGGACCAGTGGTCTGACTCAGTATAAGTCAGCTTCCTATGTTCCTACTGGAGAGCACCAGGTTGGCAAGGACAGGATTAGTCACAAGGGACACGGGTGGCGCTGTGGTCTAAACCACTAAGCCTCTTGGGCTTGCCAATCGTAAGGTTGGCAGTTTGAATCCATGCAACAAAGCTTCCGTTGCTTTGTCCCAGCTCCTGCCAACCTACAATAGCAATTCATAAGCATACCAGTGTGAGTAGATAAATAGGTACCACTGCGGCAGGAAGGTAAATGGCGTTTCCATGCTCTCTGGTTTCTGTCACGGTGTTCCATTGTGCCAGAAGTGGCTTAGTCATGCTGGCCACATGACCCCCAAAAGCTGTCTGCGGACAAATGCCAGCTCCCTCGGCCTGAAAGCGGAGATGAGTGCCACAACACATAGTCAAATTCGACTGGACTTAGCCATCCAGGGGTGTTTAACTTTACCTTACCTTTACCTAATCATACCTAATGAATGAGGGAGCAGGTTGTAGTTCAGAATGCAAACTCCCCCTGCTTAAAAATTTTTTCCGGTGGGTCCAGGCCCCTCTGATGAAACCATCTCAGCCACCTCCCATTCCCCAAGCAAAGAAAAACTTTCCTCTTGCATGGGGATGGAGCAGGTGAAAGAGGGGTTTTGTTTCCAAGTTGGAAACAGATACAAGGGGCATCATTTCCTGCCCAGAATTATGGAATTTGTGGGGTTTTCTCTCTCTCTAGAGCAAGGCTAACCATCTCCTAATAAACCCAGCCAGGTGGGTGGGGTATAAATAATAAAGTGTTTATTATTATTTTCTAACTGCAGATTTGGGATAGATTGCCTGGGTGGCAAGTGAGGAGGAAAGCTGCACTTCAACCACCCAGACTTTTGGACTCACCCACCCACCAGGCTTTCCATGCCTTCTATAGAAACTCTCAAAAGGTCCCTCTGGTTTTCTGGGCAAAGTGGGTACCAGCACATCACTCCAGAGGTGACACTACAATGTGACAAGATCAGGACTGGGGAAGGATGGCAGACCATCCATTGATATAATGTTAAGGACGCAAAAAGAGCCTGTTGGATCAGGCCAATGGCCCATCTAGGCTCGCATGTTGTTCTCATGGTGGCCAACCAGCAAGCAAAGCCTTAGCAGAAGAGTATACCCCACTCTGCTGCAGTCCAGAAACTGGCATTTACAAGTGAAGGGGAAATGGTTTCCCCTTCTCTAGGGTCCATGGCTGGAAAAGTCAATTATCACAATAAGCTAAGTCAATGAAGTTTTTGTTTCATGTGCACTAAAGATAAACACATTCTGCATTTTATAATGACATTTTTAAATGTTGGAAACTACCTCAAATCCCAACTTGGGGGAAAGGTGGGATATAAATATATCAAATAAATAAATTTCTCCCCCATCCCCCACATTGCATCTTTCAATCAAAAATTGAATTGGGGCAATGTTTGATCTGAGTATTATGAATTCTTCCAAACTCTGTTGCAAACAGGTTATGTTCTTGGCATCCGATTTTGCCTATGCAAGAGAGAGAGAAAATAAAATGTGAGCAGGGGAAGGATGTTCTGACAATGGAGAAGTGGAGGGGGGGGAGAGAGAATGGGTATTTATAATCCTTAGCTAATGGCATGCTGGCTAATCCACTGAGCTATACATACAATTTGTATAAATTATTAGCTGCTCATTCCTCAATCGTAATGAATATCTGGGCATTCGCCGGCTGCTAGCAAATCAGGGAGCCCTGATTCTGCTGGCAGAGGAAGAGAGAGAGAGAGAGAGAGAGAGAGAGAATGTTTTTGAGAGCTGCAGGTCTCCCACAAGGATGCTGAAATTGTCACACACTTGGATTGTTCACTAAAGTGTGAAACTTTTCTGCAAAGCTTGAAGCTCAGCTTTGATGTGCCACTCCAGATGTGCAAAAACGTCTCACTTGACATGCCAGCACAGAATGAAAGGGAGGGAGAGGGAGAGGACTTCATTTCAGCTGACTGCCCCCCCCCCCGCTTCCTAAAGTGTAAACCTGGGCTCTGAAGGATGGCAAGACAAGAGCAGACAGACAAAAGAAATGGACCCAAGTTGTCTCTGGAAGGCAAGGCTGAGAAGTGTGTTCCTCTCTACAGCTCACCAGCTTCCAGCTCCTCTCCTTCCTGGCCACTAGCCATGTTTGCTGGGGCTGGCAGAAACATCTGATCAGGAGCGTAGGAAGGGGGGTGCGGTGGGGGAGGTTTGCCCCGGGTGTCATCCCAAAGGGGGGGGTGACAAAATCTCCCCTGGGTGGATCGCCGCAGTGCCGATCGCTCCCCAGGTGGACCACTGACATGCTGATTACCCCCGTGGGTGGATCACCCCACTCCCTGGGCAGATTGCCCCATGCCCCATGGGTGGATCGCCCCACCCTTGGGTGCATGGCATGTGTGCCACTCCAGGTACCGGAGCATCTAGCTCTGCTGCTGCATCTGAAGAGCCACAGGTTTGGATTAAATGGTCCCTCTCTCTCTCTTTCTCATGGAACCTTCTTCATATTTATCTATTGTAAACTGCTGCAAGATCTTTCAGCTAGTAAGGTAAAGGTAAAGGGACCCCTGACCATTAGGTCCAGTCGTGACCGACTCTAGGGTTGCAGCGCTCATCTCGCTTTATTGGCTGAGGGAGCCGGCATACAGCTTGTGGGTTATGTGGCCAGCATGACTAAGCCGCTTCTGGTGAACTGGAGCAGCACACGGAAATGCCGTTTACCTTCCCGCTGGATTGGTACCTATTTATCTACTTGCACTTTGACGTGCTTTTGAATTGCTAGGTTGGCAGGAGCAGGGACCAAGGAACGGGAGCTCACCCCGTCGCAGGGATTCAAACCGCCGACCTTCTGATCGGCAAGTCCTAGGCTCTGTGGTTTAACCCGCAGTCCCACCCGCATCCCTTTCAGATAGTAAGCAGTCTATAAATGATAATAATAATAATTAATAAATACTTTAAAAAGTATAGGTTTGTCCCGAGTTCTGTGCTATTCAACGGCACGTGGAACCGGTTCGCCGTCTCAAGTGTTGCTGGGGTGGGTGACAAGGTTTGAAGAGAATTATCCTTTTTTGTCCAGAAACTAGATGACAGAAGGACAAATTAAGGAGATCGCTGGAGTCACTCTGGCACATCCCGCTGTTGTCTGGGGCATCAGATGGAGTGAAGCTCGCAGCTGCTGTGCTGGCTCCCGCGCCCACGCTCAGGGAGGGAGAGAGAGAGAGAGATACATCCCTCATATGCTGCATTTTTGACTTCTCCAAAAAGGATTCCACTTGGTCATTCATTACCAGGGAAGAAAAGAACATTGTGTGATGCTGCCTTGTTGTTACAAAGGGTCACACTACACATTATAGAACTCCTGGTGCATTTTCACTCTATAAATGCAGCTGCAGGATGAGAGGGGGAGGCAGTCGAGATTAGGGCCAGGACGTTCTTAGTTTGTTTTCTTTTATTTACTTCCATTTGCTCATGATTTTATTTCTATTCCACTTTTTCATTAAAAATAAAGGATCATGCTCAAAGCAGTTTACCACAAAGAAAACAGGAATGCATCCGGAGATCAACCACCACAAGAACAATTTCATAATCTGCTGTGTAGGTTGTTTGTCCATCTGCCTGCCTGTTCTCCATAGGTTCAGTTGTCTCTTGAGAGATTGTTGCCAAACTTGGCCCAGGGGGCAGCAGCTGTTGTTGACATTTGGATACTGGATCCCATTTGGAATCAAAATGGTGAACCAAAATGTGACTTTGGCTTGACTTTGCCCTTTTTTTGGCATAGGTTCAGCGGCCTCTCAATATATCATCACAAAATGTGGCATGAGGGTTTCCAAAGTGGTGGCAATGGACTCTGTCCCTATTTGGATGCTGATCACCATTTTGAATCAAGATGGCAGACTGAAAAATGACTGGTGTCTTTTGGCATAGATTTGACTGCCTCTTGAGATATCATCACCAAACTTGCCACAAGGGTTCCCGAGCTGGGGGCAGCAGTCTTCAATGGTGTTTGGATACCAGACACCATTTTGAATCAAGATGGCAGACCAAAATGTGACTTTACTTGATTTTTGGTTTGACAGGTCCAAACTCGCAAATTGCAATATCCATTTAAAAATCACAGTATGTTTTGGTTTCTGCAATGTCCCAGGGAATGGCAAGAACTTCCCTTTAGTAACATAATAGAACACAGCACAATAGCAAATATAGAAACAGCATTATAAATAATACCCTGCCTACTATCTAAGCATTACCGACAGATCCTGGTGCCTGTTGTGTGTCACTGATTTTGTGCGATTTTGATTTGGTTTTGTTTTACTTTATACTGTCTTTATTGTAGCAACCCACCCTGGGACACTATGGTGAAAGGCAGGTAAGGAATCCAACAAATATCCTATACTATGCGCTATTGCATGTCATCATTGCATTCTCTATACAATTGCATGCTAACTCTCAAATATCCACTGTAGATGATCGAACACAGAACATTCGTACCAATGAATGTCAAAAGCATTTTTTTTAATATTTCAAGGAATATCTGGAGAATATTCAATATTGAAACACTCAGAGGAGAAATTCTGAGAATGAATTCATTCTCACCAGATCTGATAAGCATTCCAATGGCACAAGCGGCTCACCCTTAAAAATGCTTTAAAACATTTCTCTCTCCTTCCTCTTCTTCTTGATAGATAAGTAATTTAGTACATATTATGCCTCACCCACATTGATAAATAGGCTATAAAAATTCACAGAGGATTCAAGTTAAATCAATTTATTTCAATACTTTTGACACAGTTGCCATAGTGGCAGAGAGGAACCAACGGCGTGATTTCCTGCTGAGCAGAGTGGTAGGATGTGGGGCATAAATTACCCTCAAATGCCACACAGATAATGAGGCCGCATCT